ATCGCTATGATTTAAACTTATGCCAAACGTTTCGTAAACAAGCAATTCTGAACAAAAAACTGTTTTTCCAGAAAGATGTTTAAATGGAAGCATTACAAATATGGAAAAATAGCAATCCACAAGGCTTTATTGGAAGTAGGTCCCTTTTAAAGCACATTTAACAAAAAAAAAAAAGCTTTTAGTTTCGAAGCAAGCAAAAAATAATTCTATTTTATTTGTTTACATTCAACAAATTTTATTGAGCTTGAGACCGTTTTTTGATGAAAATTATTGTGGAAAAGCAACAATAAATTGAAAAAATGGTAGAAGTGATAGCTATTTCGGAAATCACCACATTTCCTCATCAGACTTCTTTCAGTAGGATTCGAACCGACGATCCCACTGACTCAGCCAGTTGCCTACGCACTNTAAGTTCGCCTTGTTAATTCTTGTTGCTTATTTCCACTATTTCACTTGTTAAGCCAACTAAAATCAAGCGCAGCTCTTCCGCTGCAATTCACTAGATCATGTGGTTGTTGGTTTTGTTGGTTTTTGTTAATATTTCTGTTAAAATTTTCCATAAGGCCTTAAAATAACAAAAAAATTGTGGTTTACAAAAAAATACTTGCCAAATATATAAGTCAAAATTGTTAAACATATATCGCTTTCATTCATTTCTTCATAGAGTTGGTGCTTCTTTTATAGGATAATTCATACGGCTTATGAACAGATTAATACCATGTAAATGCACCATTACAATAACTTTTAAGCGAAAAATGAGAATATTATAAATTTTTTGGAAAAAGGGCGTAGCCAAGCCCACTTACATGTGTATATCTTGAGAACCGCTCCACCAATTTATATCAAACTTGGCACAGTTGGTCCTGACAAAGTATACCAAACGGCTGGAAATTTTATAAATCGGACACTAACCAAACCCACATCCCATATAACGGTAATTTATAGAAATTCGAAAGCTTCGATAAATCAGTAAATACTGAAGCTAATGTATTCAAAGTTGATGTTTGCAATAATTCTTTAGCAAAAATACGCTTATAATAAAATTTTGGAAAATGGGCGGGACCCAGCCCACTTATGACCATATATGAGTATCCGTTCGATCAATTTGTACCAAACTCGGTATGATTATTGTGCTTGCCACATAAAAGCAAAACGTTGAAAATGATTGAAATCTGAAAAAAATTAGCCCACTTTTCTATAACGGTAAATTTCAGAAATGCTTGAAACTTCGATATTTCGAAATTTAAGAACGCTAATTTTACTCAAAATTTATACTAACAACAATCCCTTGAAAAGATATATGTAGATTAAAAAGTTTAAATTTTTGGAGAAAAATGTTTGATTTTTTTAAATTTCATTTAAAGAGTTCTTTTTATAAAATAATAATAATAGATTGGCGCTTACACATTAGTGTGTGGCCGAGCTTCTCCTCCGACTTGTGGCGTGCGTCTTAATGTTGTCACACAAAGCGGAGGGACCTACAATTTTACGCCGACTCCGAACGGCCATTGTATTTTTATGAGAAGCTGTTGTTCATGGCAGAAATGCACTCGGAGGTTTGCTATTGCCTGCCGTGGGACGACCGCTGTTAAGAAAAAAACCTTTTTTCTATATTTTTTTGCGATGTTGCTTTGACCAGGACTTGGACCCAGGCGTTGCGGAGTGGAAGCGCGCACTGCTTACTACTACACCACAGCGGCCAATTTTACATACATATGTATTAGAGGTTTACGCCGACAGGCCTTGCGGCGGCGGCGTGGTCAACTTCAAAAAGAAACGCCGGCGCTACTGCCCATGAGGTAGATTCCAAAGAGCCATGAGGCTACTAATCTTATCATGTCATCTCGTCAGCGTTAGGCATTCACCATGCCAATTCAGATTATAATTCTATTTAATTTATTCATTGAAGTTTAAATTACGATGGACGAACATGTATACATATGCACATGACTCTGTATGTTCCCTACACCCTGCAGGAAATGTATCTAACTATAAGCTAACTTTAAGTTGATTAGGAAGGAGCTAAAATTCACTTATTATCTGTATATTTTCTTTGACGAAAGCTAACTATATTTCCATGGCGATGGCCGCGAAATAGTCAAGGGTAGTTTACATCTGCATTAGATGTAACTAACTTGTAACTAACTACTTTTGGACATAAAATATCAATAGGAAAAACAACAAATTTTTTTTTTATTTTTTATTTTTATTTACTTTATTAAATTTCATATTTGTTTTCATATTCTGCTGTAGGTGGTCCCAAATGAAAATATGAAATTTCGATCTTCCTTTTACTTGTCCTCAACGCGTTTGTCAAAACGCGTTTAAAGAAAACAATATCCTTCATTACTCATGCATTACTTGTCAACTAGTTTCAAGCTAGCTTTTTGTAGTTAACTACAAGTTATATATTTTTATAGAAATCCCGCAAAAAAGCTAACTACAACTGGGTTATTTTTTATCAATTGATATTTTTTTTTCTGCAGGACAGATCCGTATGTACTATTTAAATTTAAAGAAATAAAAAATTTTAAAAGTTAAGTTATTGGCATAATTTATGTCGCTATCAATAAATTTTTGCAATATTCTTATAAACCGTTATGTTAAATTACGGAGTTCTTACGATTTTATGCGGATTACATATTGAAAAAAAGGTTGGTCTACTTTTTTCCAAAAGTTTAACCCATAAACTCGAACCAGAACGGGTCTTTTTGACCCACTGTTTAAAAAAATGGCTTATAGATGGTTAGGGTTGCCAGACGTACTGCTTTTAGGAGTAAACGTACTCCTTTTTATTGCAATGTACTCCCTTATACTCCCAAAAAAAATATCTGGAAATGTACTCCTTTATTAGCTTTGTACTTCTTTTGTACTCCTTTTTCCAGCTATTAATATTTTATCATATACAGGGTGTAAAATAATATCTGTTGCACAGTTTTTTTTGCGAAAAAGTAGTTTATTGTTAATTGTCCACAGAGTTTACTTCAATTTTATTAATTTGTTTTTAAATTTTACCCCTCATTTGGGTTTACCGGCGGTAAACACTTTGGGAGAAAAGCGCAAGTCTTCGTCGGTTACTTTATTACATATCTTCTGTAACCATAGGCTAATTTCCCCCATTTGGGTCCTTTATACCCCGTCTTTTGTCCAACATAAGGCCTCATACTCAGCAATCGAAAAGGCTAGAAACTGGTGACTAGGAGGGCATTCATTCGACCAACCCTATACAGGTTTTTTTTTCTTTTTTTTATACAAAATCTAAGAAAAAATACACCTGAAAAAGAGGTTCGTGCCGCATGTACTTATCTCCCAAAGCTGGCAAATACAAATCAGGATTAAAATTTTAAAACCAAGTAAAAAAACAAATCTATAAAGAACCCTTTTATTTTTCAAAAAACCTGTGCGACAGTTATTATTTTGCGCGCTGTACTTTGCCATTCATATTGTGGCAAACACTACTTAGTAAGCAAAGTTAAGTGTGATAGTGAAAAGGTGTAAGCATAGCCTTAGGGGCAGGACGCTCGGGTATAAAAATCAGAAAAATATTAAATTAATTATAAGGCTTAAATTAAAAAAAATGGTCATACATTCAGGAAGAGGAATTCTTTTGTAGTTTTTAGTTTTTAGTTGGGGAACTTTCCTATAAGGGCGGTCATTGAGAACCGAATTCTACGCAAAAATACTGTGGTCGCAAGTGAAAATTGTGGCTTTTGGCAATTTTTGTAAGGGGTCCCGTAGGGGCCCTAGGTGGTCGGGAGTAACATTTTTGTCAATGGCGGTTCATGCCCTCTCCAAAAAGGTCGGAAAAGGTGCCACGTCCACTCTCCCTTCGATCACCATCTCTTTAACAATCGTCCCTATTAGAAAGTCAAACCATATAGTTGTTTATTTTTCACATATATTGTTGCTTTGAAAAAGATTTCTAAGATATCTTTGTTTGTTTGTACCTAATTAATGGTAATTTGTAACAATAAATTGCACAAAAAATTAAAAAAATTGTACTCTTTTCTATGTCATGTACTGCTTTTTTTCTATCGAAAATATAAATGTACTCCTTTCTCCGTTTCAAAATCTGGCAACCCTATAGATGGTTAAAATGTCCACCAAAATATTAAGTGCCAAATTTTTCTAAGGAAAACCGAATGTAATGAAAAATAATACTAATTTTACCAAAAAGGGGAACTTAAACCCTTTGTAGAAAACGTTGCGATGCGAGGGAGCAAAACCACCTTCCTGGGGTTTGACCAACATTAAGGAATGCTAACGTAATTTTCACACAGCCACCTACTACTTGTATACGTATGTGGGACCCCAGAATAAAATAACTTACGAATGTAAAAATTAGCAAAAAAAAGTGTTTGCTCTTTATTTAAAGTCTGTTTCAAATACACAAAAAAAAAATACTTAGGAAAATCAACTTGTCTTTGTTTTATCTCTAATAATTGAGGAGTTAGATGGAATGAGCTAGATGAACCGAAGCTGCTTCGGTTAAAACTGCTTTATGAGATATTGGCGTTAAAGTTTTTGATGTGTTGTAACTTTATTGTTGTTGTAGTATTGGAAAGAGTTGTCTACTGCAGAAAAAATCGTTAGATTACCAGTATTCGACCCTAATTTAACTGCAATAAACGCTTTCGATCGAAAAATATGTTACTATGTTTTTTCTGAGTTACGCTCTTTGTGGCCCAAATTATGCAAAAAAAAACTCCTTTAAAAAGTAATTTTCATTTCGTAAAATTGTGTTTTTAAACGAGTAGTATTTAGTTCCTTCAAACGATGTATTTCAATGTCATCATGAAAATTTTGTACAAAATTGCTTAGGCGCCGAACGCCGCCGCCGCCGCGCCGATATTTTCGTAACTCGGCGGCGGCGCGTGAGGAATGACAAAAATCGGCGGCGGCGGCGGCGTGGCTCGGCGGCGTATACCTCTAATATATATGTATCTATATATAATTTTTTGGTAAAATTTCCTGAAGATAACTTAAAAATATTGTTTTACCTTTATATCTACACAACGATCTCAGTATTTAGTAAGCAGCTACAAGGATTTTTATTTTTGTTTGTTTTTGTTTTATTAATTTGCAAAAAGAAGTAATAGATTTTTTTTTTAGAAATTTAGAGCTTGTTATTATTTATTTATTTATTTATTAATATTTTTTATTTGCACAATTTCCACTTTATCACAGTAGAAGCAATCTTGACCGTTTCCATGTGCGCACAAACAATTAATTTCATAGTAGGTGAACAAAATTTAAACCTTTCTACGTAAAAGCCGGATTCTGAATAATGTTTACTGACTTTTGAAATCAATGCACAAACTACGCTGTCGAATTATCACTGGATTATATTCCGCATTAAACTGATAACACAAACTTTCTGAACGCTATTTGGTATGAAAATTGTTTTGGAGAAAACTAAGATTAGTTTAATTTTTCTTCAAGATCACAACAACAAAGAGTGAGAACGCTAAACTTTAAATGCGTTTTAAGGCTCCGAGCTCAAACAAAATATTTGCCATCTCACTATTGTGTTTTTTAAACAATTGAGTAAGAAGTAAAAATCAAAAATGTATAGCGCTTGTTAGCAATATTCCAACCCGACTTAAAGTCACTGGCTAATCGCTAGCTCTGCAGAACCACAGACCTAATTGAAGCTGCGCACCCAATTCAATTACATAGATTCAGAAAACTTACTCTCACTTTGACGCTTAACTGATAAGCAGTGAAGAGCACAAATACTCGTGTTGTAAGCAAAAATAAAAATGATAATTAGAAATCAGAAATCACAAGAAATAATCCGCGAAAAATAGAAATTAACGTACAGTTATGATACATATTATATTATAGCAACAATCATAATTTATTTACATGTTTGGTTCGAATTTTGAGGTTATCAGTGGGTAAGAGCATCTAATACATATGTACTCGTATAATACGCCTGCGTGCGTAATCAGAAATTTCTAAAAATGTCTACAACAATTTGGAGTTATGTGTTTTCACTTTCTGTGGTAAGGAATTGATAAGATATTATGTATGAAAAGCATACATCTGAAAGCTCTTTATTTTACTATTTCTTAGTCATATATCATAATTTTTATCTTTTCTTTCGCCTTTTTTTTCTATGCATTTCATGAAACCTCCGAAATGCTCCATAATTTTTTTACAGTGTATTTATTTCCTTATACATACGCACGACCTATGGATGCCTCTCAGCTGTCAGTTAGTATCATCGATCGTTGTTTTTCCAAAAACTGATAGTGGAAAATTACAACGCATGATTGTAGGTGTCAGTGTGAAAGTAAGTGTTTGCTGGTGCGCTTCACGCGCAATTGAAAGCCGTAATGATTTAAAAGCTGGAAGGAAAAACGGTTAACTCAAACTTGCTGCCACAACGTAATGGACCTTGAACGAAAAACTTTAGAAAAAAACTTCTCGGCATACACTGAGGGAAAAAAATTTAAAATCAAATAGAAACGTATTGATCTTACTAAAACGTCAACGAAAGTACTGTATTGGTAAATATTCAATTCAATTACGCGATATATAAAATGACCGCGTTCGTACTGAAAAAGCATCCGTGAAGTGAATAATCAAACAAAAACTAAAAAAAAAATAATGTGCATGTTGCCTGCAGTGGAATTCGAACCCGATCGTCTCCGGACATCAACAACTTGTGGCAAGCATCTTTGCGCACTCAGCTACACCCAGCATATAAATTTTCTTTTAAATGTTGAATATCCATCAACACCACAGCACGGCCCTGTAGGGAAACCCCAACTGGTGAACCAAATTTGTAGTTCCGTACTAGATCTTTATCGACAAAAACGAACCAGTCCGATATAACTAGATCGCCACCAGTTCAAAAGCAGCGATATGTGGTACTTTTAAAAAACAATTTTAGAAATCTATATCAAAATGACGAATTTAGAACTGGTTCAAAACTATAGAAAAAGGGATGCAGAACGAACTAGATCCATCGGGAATTTTGAACTAGTTCGAAATACTGAAAAAGGATGCAGCGGGGGGCTTGTTTACTTTAAATAGATTTTTGCTTGGCGGGTTTTTCGTTCAAATACGTTTTCAGTCTGCACGTCGCAATGCTTTTTCATAGTTTGGTAATACAAAACTAAAATTTGTGTTAACATCTTAACATTTTGGGACCTTCTGGAATATAACCAATAACAGTCAGCACCTCTGCAAATTCATCTACAGCCAAAGGTATGTAAACGTGTTTTCAAATGCACAATTTAATTTACATTCATTCAAACAAGTTTGATTTCAGATTGAAAATACATTTCTCTGCAAATAATTAAAAATTGCTACCATGGTAACCCAAAAAGAAAACATCTTGTTACTTTTTTCGTTTACAACTGGTTCGAAACTATAGAAAATGGGTGCAAAGCGAACTAGATCCCATATGTCGAATTTAGGACTGGTTCTGAACTATAGAAAAGGTAATGCAGCGGGGGACAATTTCCAATTCCTATGACATCGCTGTGTTAAATTCGCCAGTTATTTGCATGCAAAAGAGATTTATCGCGAACTAGTAGTAGTTCTTAATGTACTAGAAGCGCACCAGTTCAAAACTAGAGATTTTCCCCACAGGGGGGATTTGTACGGATAAACATGTATGTACTATGTATGTATGTGTGTGTTGGCACCGCTCGCAGAGGAGCGCGTTAAGACATCCGCCAAAATATTTCGGAAAAATATTAAGATTTAAGTGAGCTGGACCGATTTGAAAATACCTCCAAAAATGGAGTTTTTTATGAATAAAAATAGTTNGACAAAACAGATTAAGCTTAAAAAATCTGCATAAAAATATTTAAAAATCTTTTCAACGGAATCGTAAGAATGAGATTTTTGATGCTGTTTTTTTTTACTTTTTTCAAAGATTGATTTACAAAAAACTTGAATAACTGGGCCAAAACTATTCTTATTTAGACTTATGGGACCTCGATATAAAGGTATTTTCACACTGTTTTTATTTCATTTCAAAGAAAAGTTATTCGTGTCCCATTGTTTTTTTTTCGAATACCAACACATCATAATTCAACTTTGAATGACGTTCGTTCATCCTACCTTTCTCTTTCAGCCTTTGAATGAGCTTATTAGCAAAGATATAAAAGGGGTGAGAAAATACCATTCCAATGATACCTCACAAGTCTAAATCGGAAGAGTTAAGGTTCAGTTATTCAAGTTTATCTTATACCAATCTTTGAAAAAAGTTAAAAAACAGCATCAAAAATCTCATCATTACGATTCCGTTTAAATTTTTTTTTAAATTTTTTAAAAATATTTTCATGCAAATTTTTTAAGCTTAAAGCGTCTTGCCATTTGAGGGGGTTTTTTCAAAAAAAAATCTTTAAGAAACTATTTTTATTCATGAAAAACTCCATTTTTGGAGGTATTTTCAAATCGGTCCAGCTCACTTAAATCTTAATAATTAACAAAGTACCGATTTTTCTTTGTATGGGGAGCGATGCAGTCTAATGTACATTAGACCGTACCACCTCACAAGCAAACAAAAAATAAAAGTTCGCCGTGCACCCCTGAGTCTAAGGTATTTTTTGGTGACACCTATATTCGGCAATAATTTTTTTTTTTGTTCTAAATGGTTCTACTGGGATAATCAAAAAACTTCCTTACCAAAAGTTTTGTGAATTCGGGAGCGCTTTACTGGGAATGTACAAGAGCTTTTAAAATTATTCGAATAATCGAATATTTGAACAATCGATTGGCAATCGTATTTTCGATTTTCAAGCGAATTTTACAGATCGAAAAACGAGAAACCAAATCGATCATGTTGTGATAGACGGAAGGCATGCTTCAAGCGTTTTGGACGTACGTACACTCCGAGGGCCAAGATACGCACCCGCCTCTGTGCAGCAAAAAAAGTGCGCCCAACAATGCAAGGAAAGCTTAACGTCGAAAAGCTGCAATCACAACATACGGCCAATTTATTCGCCACTCGANGGAAAAGTGAGTTAGGTTTGCTGCTTTATTAAGAAAAAATCTCCTTCTAACCAGGTACGTGCTCCATTTTGCTTCCACAACTGCACTACGTCCTTAGCCAAATCAACTGTAGCAAGTGCACAAAAGGACCAGGCAGGTGAAATGTAAGTACAAACTTACGAAAGTATTTGTAATAAATAAAATGAGGAGCGCTGATCTTTTAGAATACTTTAAACGAATGTGGTTCCGTCTATCGACCTAATTATATGAACTACAAATAAATTCATGCAATGAAAATATTCGATTAACAGAAAACGAGCGATTATTCGACGGTAAACGATTATTTGAATGGTTAGTTTAAATATTCGATTAATCGAATATCAAGAGCCCTAGTAAGTACATACGTGGTACTTGAGCTCAATTAGCCTCATCGAGACAAAAACATCAATACATCATACATTAAAATTCGACTGTAAATGCCGAAGATATGACGAAAAACTACAAAAGCCGACCCTTGCGTTCGGAAAAAAATCGAAATTGGGTTTTGGAGAAATTGATTTTTAGAGAGCTTTAATTCGCTGGAATTAGGGTGGTAGGAACTGAGATATTATGGTTGGTTAGTGCATACTAGAAAGTGGTACTTGAGGTAAATGAGCTTTTAGGAGAAAAATTTGTCTGCTCGAGGCAAGAACATCGATGTAAATAGATATCATACTTTAAAATCCGACTGTAAATGCCAAAAATTTGACTCTTAGATAGATATTACGAGGTGTGCAGCATGACCTACTGACCTATTGTGCCGTCTACTCTTCACAATACTTCCTCATCACCTAGATCCCTTAGAAAGTTCAAAAGCTCTTTCGTGGATAGTAAGTGAATGTGCTTAACGTGTGGCCACATTGAGCCTAGACTGCAGACTGCATGCATGACACTCGATGAGAATATGGAGTGGTGTTTCGCTGGTAGAGTTGCAGAACCGGAAAAGGTCATTTGACCTTATATAGATGTCCACTTAGTCCTTTGGGAGGTTAAATATACTTTGGAATGCCCTCTTGTGATACCCTTCTAGAAAACTCTTTGCCTGATGCAATAAATATACTCGGTACCTCGCCATAGGAACAGAGATCTTGGTCCTGGTCTCTCTGGGGTCTTCGAGCCGTCTATGTACCAGTGTAGCGTGCTATCCTGAAGGAGTCTTTCGTAGGCGGAGATGCTCCAGTTTGCTTTACTGCATGCATCTATTTTAAACCTCTTCTTAAGGACTAAGGCTCTACCTACATATGTAATGTCTAGGAAACAGAACTAGCGGAGGCGAGTACCCTAGATTCGCCATATACCCAGACAATATGACCAAACCCCTCTAGCAAAGCTAAGGAGAGTTCTTTTCGCGACCTGCTCGCTGGTTATGGGAAGGAGCTCAAGTTCAAGGACCACTTCCAGTGCGCATCACTTCCGTTATGCATACAAAGGTCACTTGTTGTTGTTGTAACAGCATACAAACTCCCTAAAGAGGTTTTGGGGAGTGTTGCTGGAGTGACAGTCCTTGGCCAGTCGTTGTAGCTTAGTGAGTGATTGTAGTTTTTGAATCTCAAGCCACCGCTTTATAGG